TCCCCAGCTGTTTAGAGGAGGAAAAGAAAAGAAAAGAAAAGAAAAGAAAAGAAAAGAGAGAGAGAGAGAGAGAGAGAGAGAGAGAGAGAGAGAACGAACGAACACAGGGCTAGGCCCACCCACCTGCTTCTGTTCTATGACTTTGTCCCCAAGCACAGTGCTGGCTCACCTAGCTTTCCGCCTGTTGGTTTGTGTTCTTACTGCTGCTTTGGACTTTCCCACGCTGCTTATCTCACGTGTCCGTCTTCTACACCCTAGTCAGAACACTGCCGTGTCACTGTCACTCTCTCTGGTCTCTACCTTCCCACACAGCTCACCTCAGGTGTGGCAGAGTGAGGGGAGAGGGGCTGTTCTGCAGCCCTCTGGTCCACCTGGGTCACAGCAGCAGCAGCGGGAGGGGCCACCCCCCACGCTGTTCCGCTGCTCACCCTGCTGCAGGGGCAGTGATGGCCCTGTTAGTCCTTAAGCTCTATAGTGTGGCCCTGCTGGGTTCTTCCAGCACAGTTTCACCCTTGTTTGCTTTTGCTCTTGCCCTGGGTTTCCCTCTGTCTGCCCAGCTTTCTGTGTTTTACCTGACAGAACCTTCAAGTCTCACTCGGGTTGTCACCTTGTCCACCTTTCAGGCTCATCCTAAAATGGCCATACAAGCTGGATCTTCCCTCTTCCCAGAACTGCCCTTCCTGGGCCACACCGCCGGCTGCCATGACTGTGAGCTCCACAGGCTTTGCTCACACCCTGCTTCCCCACCGGCCTGAGCTTCAGGTCGGCAGCTTCGTGCCCCACTCAGGTCCGCAGGCCTCCTCTTAATCAGCAAATCATTGCATGGACACTCAGCTTTCTTCCACGTCAGACTCACCACGTCAGGGCTTCAGTAAGCCCTAGGTGATGGCTGGAACATTTCTGACTTCTAATCTGACACATGCGAGAGTTTTCATCCCTTGTGCAATTGTGAATCCCATCTGCTCTTCTAATGAATGAAAATTTAGTTCTATGCAAATGCTTCTGCGGGAATCATCCCTTGCGGGCATCCTCTGGGGACCATACTCATCTGCTGGTTCTCTGGATCTGCATTTGGAGCCTTCTGGGAACTTGTAATTGGGCCTGGAAACTGGACAGCTAAGGTGAGTGAAATGCACAGGCCTGCCACTTGGCATTAGGAACTTACAGCCCCAGGACCTGTGGGATTAGATTTCCGTGAGAGAGACTACCCCTCTCCGTCCTCTACACTAGACCCGCTGCCTATGCTGTTACCCCGACGACCTCCGAAACACAGCCCCATGGAACACCAAGACGCAGAGATCTCCTCTGGGCACTGTTCACTACCTCAGGCCGGAGGCTGTCCTAATTAGGGCGGCAGAAGCTCGAGTCTTCTCTACAGCTTGGACAATCAGCTTCTTTCTTGTCTGAGAAACACAGCTTTTGCTTCTGGAGCTCTGTGTCACAGAGACAACAGCCTGGACTTCTGATCCAAATGGATGGGCCTCAAGTTGCAGCTCCTCCACGCCCAGTGGTGGCATGACCCCAGGAAGGCTACCTGACATCTTGTGGAATGTGAGAGGGGTGTACAGTGATGAAATGCAGTGGCTGGCACACAGTAGGGCCACGTTACATGCATGTTTTCTTCTTCCCCTCAAATCTGGGTGCAGCACTGTTTCCCTCTCCTGGAGGCAAGTGCCAGGACAAGCTGCCTCGTGCTCAGTGTGAGACCAGGATGAGGCCGGGGGCCCAGGTGCAGTCTCTGCTAGGTAAATCTGCAGGGTGCAGCGTCAAAGGGCAGACAGGCAGGCCTGGTAGGAAACGACTGAGCTTCTCTAGTGGCCCTGGAGCGACATTCCTTGTGCTCAGTCTGCTTTCTGGAAACAGCCTGCAGGCAGTCACAGGTACTTTATAGGATCACGGAGGAGGCTGCAAGTCAGGGATTCCTGCGTGCTGCCTGGCCTCTGTGTCCTCAGCGTACATGGAGGTGCTGTGTGCCCATCATGTCTGGCATGGTACTCCGGTGTCCCTGCTGGTGCTCCCCTCTCCTGAATGTCAGTGTCCTGCCCTGACCTCTACTATGTCACCTTAGTACTTGGACTTTAGCTATGAGCACGTACATCCCACACTGCTCTCTGGCTCCTGAACACCAGCTCCACAAAGATTCATCACCCCAGGATCCCCAGCAGCCCACAAGCTTGGGGCAGCTGCCAGTTTCCCCCACACAGTGAACCCCAATCTAGAATGCACTCAGCTGCATAAACCAGGCACCCGAGCAGCCAGCTTTGCCCGTCCTCCCTCTGCTCCCACCTGGCCAGTCCCCGAGCTACGCTCCTTTGTTTTCTCTTGAGTCTAAAGGCACTGACCACCCAGCTCCAATTGCTGCAGTGGCAGATCCCTCTGGAAGGGACCTCAGAAAGGTGATCCCCAGGGAATGCCTGCAGAGTGAGTGTTCAGTGTCCCCAGGGACCCCTTCACAGAGAACAGACTTAGGACTGTGCATAGCCCCCAGCATTTCTGCTAAGGGCCGCCCTGGTCACTGAGGCCAGGCTGAGCAGCACCACAGAGCTCGGAGCTCAGCGTCATACCAACCTGGGCCTGACTCGCCAACCATGTCCACTTGAAGTCACCCTGCTCTCCAAGCCCCTGCTCCCTCAACTCTAAACTCCATTTACTCTAAAGCAAGAATAAATGACCATGTCTGCCTCCTATTCCTTGGCATCCAAAGAAGTTAGAGGTGAGAAATACTTAGCTGAGGACCTGACACACAGCAAACACTCAAAACAAAGTGGCCTTGACTTGCTTGCTTTTCTCTCACTGCTGAGACAAAATATCTGACACCCAAAATTAAGGAGGGACAGGCTTATTTAGCACAATGTGTGGAGGTTTCAGTCTGTAATCAGCTGGCTCCAAGGCAGGGTGGCACATGGCAGAGGGGTGATAGTTCATGGCAGCATAAGACAGCAAAAACAAAAGGGACAGAGCAAGCCTCTTTTCCTTCCTTACCCTGTGCGGGGGGAGGTACAGGGGAGGGGTCCTCTAGGCCCTGCGTGCAGACCGCTGAATCACCTCATTAAGCTTCTCAACTTCCCGTATTGACACAATGACTTAACCATACCAGGCCTACTGTTTTTTCCATCACTTCCTGACAACTTTACTTAGTTGAGCAGATTCTGAATTTCTATAAATCTGCTCATACAAGCTGGCAGAGCAAATGCAGAGCTACATGCAAAGCTCTTCGATGTAATTACTTCAAAATGAAGTTGTGCCCACAACCACAAAATGCAGACGAGCGGGAAAAAGAGACCTGAACAGCGGCAAGAGCTCTATGGTGGTGACTTCTGTACAGAAAGAAACAAGGAGCAGCAAAGACCCGCATGCAGGAGACCCGGAGCCAAGATCTCCAGAATGTCCGGCAGGTCCATGGGGCGGGCTGACCCGGCAGGAGCTCTCCCAGCTCCCAGGGGGAGTGACGGGGTGGCCAGCTCTGGAGGAGGAAAGCGGTTTAGGACACAAATTCCAGTCCCTACAACCTAAGTGTTTTCTAGGAAGGTACCTTACAGAAAAGTTGGGGCAGGACAGGGGTCCCACATCCGGAGGAAGGAAGGTGCCCAGAGAGAAATGGGGCAGACGGAGCTAGAACGCTCAGGTGGCAAGCTGTTTTAGTTTTAATACTCCATGAAACAGAAGGACGGTGGGCTCTACCCACGGATGAAACCTCTCCCGATCCACATCATATTCTACAAGTCCAAGCTAACCTGTTTCATTTAAAAAATAAGTGAATAAAATCAAAGTCAAATTTCATTCAAAATTATTAAAACACAAAGAGGAAGGACTGAAATAATGCTATTGCAGTGAGGGCACTCGAGAAAGCTGTGCCAACGAAACAAAAAGTTTTCAAGCTGTTTCAAACAACGTCAAAGGCCCGTGGTGATTTGTATCACGCATGGTCCCCAGTGGACAGTGCCTTCTGGTACGGTGGCCCCAAGGCCCCGCCCAGGGGTGGCCATGTGACCTGCTCTGGCCAATGGAAGCTCAGGAGTGGGAAACACGTGGTCTTGGGCAGTGTGCAGGGCTTGGGTGCACCGTTTGGAAGCGCTGCACCAGCTGAGGAGGCTCGTGGGCGTCCTTAGATGACAGCAGATGACATGAAGAGAGGCCCGCTCACCTCTGCTGACTCTGTCCAGTTAAATACGTGTGCCTGAGGGAGCCCGGCCAGATACAGCTGAGGTCGCCCCGCTGCCCCTGGTCTACCACCACAGCCGAGGCATTGTATGACGTTACTGTTCCAAGCCTAAGCCTTAACAGAGTTTGACGCACAGGATTTGATAGCCAATGTAAGCATTCAGAATTAAAAGTGGGTAAAGACATTAAGAAAGTTAAACAAGACAGGGAAGACCCAGCCTACATTAGAATAAAATTCATCAGCAGTCAGGCAAAAGATCCCCAGAAAATAAATAGAAATAAAAGCGAATTGTTTCAGGAATAAAATCCCCTAGAAAGCACCCAAAACAAATGAACACAATAAACAAAACCTTCAGAGAAAGATAACAAGGAGAAAACTTGAAAACTTAAAGTAAGAACTAAACATATTAGAAATGACAAATATTGAAGATTGGCAAACAAGACACAACATTCAAACGGGTGACATTAAAGACAAAGCAAGGGAACAGAATCCACAGGACAGCGATGCCTCCATAAAATGCTGCGACATGAAAAGCATCGAGAAATTATGCATTGAAAGAGCACCGTGTGCCTAAGACTACAGATCCAGGGCAACCAAAGTCCAGTTCTATTTGGGCAATACTATTAGATTTCAATGGAAAAAAAAAGATCATTTTGCTCCACTTGTGCAAGTGTGACCCAGGAAATGGGGGGTCTCCTGGCAGAGGTGACAGTGGCCGATGGTGGAGAGGGGCAGAGAGACCAGCACCCCCTGGGGACAGGCGGAGCGGGTGCAGGGTGGAGGGCGGCCATGAAGCTGAGCGGAAGCGGAGCCCTTGGCAGGAGCCCAGGTCACTCACCCATGTAGGGCTTGGTCCCCGCCATGGAGGAGGCCTTTTCTGCTCCTCTGACAACAGTCGCTATGTTGAAGTCCGTGATGTGAACGTGCCCTGCAATGACAGACACAGAGCCTCAGTGAGCGCTGCGGTGCGGGGCTCTTTCCTCATGCAACAGAGATCTGTGGTCTGCAAGGTAAAGAACAGGGAGAAAATTAGAGTTTTGGGTTACAGTAACAGTTGACCCCGTGCTTTAAATCTGTGTAAACTGGGTTTCATTGTGTATGTTTTTAATCTCAGTGCTCTAGGAGGCTGAGGCAGGAGGGCTGCAAGTTCAGGCCCAGACTCAGCAATTTAGCAAGACTCTCTCAAAATTGAACAGAGAGGATATGAAAATGTAATTCAGTAGGGAAGCATTGGGTTCAAACCTTAGTACCAAAACTATATACATATGTATTTATTGTGCATGGTTTACAATGGGAATTTGGTACTATGTGTACCTTATCTGTAAATGTATTTATGTCAAGGAGCAGGGTTTTTGAAATGTAGGGCTCCCAAGTTGAGAGACACCGATGTGGAGAAGAAGGCGCCTGGGAGGTGAGCCACAGGTGGCCGTAGGGTCCTGCTCTGGGCCGCAGTGAGTGGACGACGGCCGGCGGGTGGGCGAGGTGCTCCTGCTGCTGTTGCCACTGCAGTCAGTGAGGCCCTCGGCGAGGATGGAGCTCTGTGGGTTTAGTGGGGCGCAGTGGGGTTGGCACCATGCTCCAGTCACATGGAGTGATGGCAGCCGGAGGGACCCGGGACAGCCAGGAGCACAATGAAGGGGTGCTCAGGAATGGTGAGTGCGGATGGGGGGAAGGGAGGCAGCAGGGGTATGGGCTCTCAGGGTGAAGGGGAGAGGCGGAAGAAGGAGGGGGACCCAAGGCAAGCCCTGAACGGCAGCACCTGTCATCCAGGAATCTGCGCCTGAAAGGAGCCGGCGCCGAGCCCCTCACGACAGCTCTGCTGCGGGCACGCTGCCTTTGTCTGTCACCACACCGTGGCACATGGCTGGCTGGGTTTCATCAGCCCTGAGTCTGAGGGCTGTGTTCGGGATGTGGGGTTCAAACACTTCGGAGGTGTGATCTAACAGGGCAGTGGATATTTACATGGTAAAGCCTTTCTTACAGCCAGAGACACACTGCCACGCTTCCCTCTCAAGGCGCCTCCCTCGCCCTGAGCACACTCGGCGCCTCCTCCCGTTCCCAGCAGCCGCTCCGCTCCGGGAGTCCTCGTTCACAGGTGGCTAAGGTGCACTGGTGTGGCTGCCTCCATATCCTGGATGGGCCAAAACCACCTCTCATTGTCATTCTGGCTTTGCGGAAGAGCCAGACGCCATGAGAAGGTGAACAAGGTCGTGCTGCAGTATTTTAGGTGGACAGGCGTCGTCACGAAGCCGTGAAGTGTTCTGGAGGACGTGAGTGGCTATGTGTCCTCTCCTGTGGTGTTAAAAATGTAAACATTACTGTCGTGTCGGATCATGCCTTGTAGGTCGGTGGCATACAGAAAATGGGGGGACTTGGAGGGCACCCCCAAGAGACAGGACATTGTCTGCAGCAGGTCTGACAGGGATGCAGCGAGGCCTGGGGAGGGCCTGCGAGGAGCGCCTGATGTGACCAGCCAGGGCACATGGCAAAGCCACCAGGTGTCAATGTGTGCCCTGCGCCACGGGCTCAGCTGCCAGCCCGAGGTGTGTGCGGCGGCTGTGCTGCCCCCCACCCCAGGGCCCCAGGTGCTGTGGCAGCCCCGCTTTGGCGTAGTAACGATCTGCGGTACTGTCCAGGTGCTGCGGCAGAGCCAGTATCTGCTGGGACGCATCCGTCTTTGCCTGCCGTGTTATTACCCCGCCAAGGCACGGCTTTTCTGCAGCCAGGGCCAATCCACCAGGCAGCTCCCCATGTCACTTCCTTAGGCAGTGCCTGCCCAGGCTGCACACAGCCCTGGCAGCAGCAGCATGGGGGGCCCCGAGGCTGGCTGCCACTTGGTCTTCCTCCATTTGTCCCTCCCCTCAGGACACATGGCACTGGTATCACGGAAGGCGCAGCTCATTGCTGAGTCGAGGAGCACAGAGCGCGGCTTGGGGTCGCTTTCCATGGCCTCCCTTGTGAGCCTCCTCCACCCCATGCGGTCACACCAGTCTCTGTCACTGTTCCATGGTCTTCCCTGGGCCTATGCAAACACATCCATGTGTCTTAGAACCCGAGTTTGCTTTTAAATGGCGAGATCCTACCCAGGAGGCATTCTTAAAATCGTGTTTTTGTACCTAGCTATCCCCCAGGACGTCTGCGCAAGTTAGCACACGCAGGCCCATCTGTGGCGCAGAGCCTTGCTCGCTTCCGGGGCCCCAGGGCCTGTGCACTGGCCTGGCCCAGGAAAGACTCGTGGAGGGGTTCCTGACTGACCAACTAACCCCTCAAACGAAAGGCTGAACTCAAGGGGCCTCACACATAAATCGGTTGCGTTCCTTCATGCTTTACACGTGCAGAGACACCACGCTGCTCACGGGGGGGGGGGGGGCACCCTCTGTTTAGACTGCAGCAATGTCCCTTTTTCAGATGGTCCAACTCAGGCTCCCTTTCTGGGATTTTTGTAATCATTCAGGCCACTGTCAGTGTTGCTACCACAGGCAGCTGGAACTTGGGCTATTTTCTGAGGATGAAAATCGTGACACCACGTGACTGAGAGCTGCATTGTTCTCCATCTGTGAGGAATTCTTTGCTGAGCACCTATCTGTGCCGAAGGTGGCGGACAGGGTTGGACCTGCCCCTGCCGAACACCGCTCAGTTGTGGATGTCGTGGTATCGGAGGAGGAGGATGGAGGGTGAAGTCCCACACTTCAGTCGGGGCTACGATGACTGATGCCTCACATCACTTCATGATGCCCCAGAAGGCAAGGACTTCCCTGCAGGCTGGGCTGGCAGCCTCCCTGCAGATCAGGGAGAAAGCACCCACAGCCCCCTCAAGGCACCCCGCGATCCCATCCACCGAGCATCTTCCCTTCCTTGATAGACTCTGTGAGGAAATGGTCAGCAAATGGGTAGCTGAGGCAGCTGTCTCTCTGGAACCTAGCAGGCCACATCTGGGGAGAGGATGAGGCCATTTCAAGGGGACAGTCCGCCCCGAGTGGCCGGCCTTGCTCAGGGGGAGTGGGTCCTGCTGCGATGGCTCCCTGGGAGTCTGTCAGGCCAGCACTGAGATAGCGCTCCCGAGGGGAGCAGACCCGGAGCCAGGCCGGACGCCTGTGGGCAGCAGCCTCCTGCCCCGCCCCTCTGGTGTCATACTGAATTTGGGGGACATCTCACTTGAGTGTCTGTTGCATCTCAGCTGCAGGACAGGGTCCACATCATGCCTGAGCCCGAAGGAAGGAGAGATGCAGAAGCTGGAAGCCTGCCCGAGGGAGGGACGCCCGGAGCTGTAAGCCCAGCTGTCTTGCCATGGCCGTGGTGTCCCCAGCTCCCCTGCACTCATGCTAAAAATAACTGTGCTTCCGAGGCCTCTGCACGGCCAGCAGTGCTGGTGCCCATCCTCCCCCGGGAGCACGCAGAGCGCAGTGCGACTCTTTCCCTCTCACTTATCTTCACAGAGATCACAGCGGCTTATCGCAGAACCACAGCAAAAAGGAAAAGAAAGCCAATCAGATGCCACACACAAGCTGAGCCGAGCTTCTCCAGGCTTCCGGCAGCAGGAGGTCTGGCCGCTTGCAGAGCAAGCCTTTGTCTGATAAAGGCTGAAGGGACCCTGGGATTCTTTCTGTTCTGCTGGACTGAGCTTCTGCCTGTGTCCTGGCTGCAAGATGGGGACACCTGCCTGCTCCAGTGGTTCAAAGGGAAATGGCCTAGAGTGGAAGCTGAATGAGTCCACGCTGCAGCTGAGCCACTTGGCTGAGATAGGGCAGGGCACTCCTGTCCCCATGCCTTCCAGCACTCTCCCTGGGCCCACTGTGACCCACAAAGCCTATCCCCATTTGCATGCTCTCTGAGGCCTCAGGGAGACCACCCGTCTCCAAGGGCCTTGGAGAATGTTCTGAGTTCCTCACCTTTTCCTGACTTCTGTGGCTCTCAATGCCATTGGACTGGATTGCTGGCCAGTGGGTTGTGGGCAAGGCCCCGGCCACTGGGCTGACATACATCCTGCCCACCTGGCTGTGCTGGGCATGTGATTTGACAGCAGCTCTGAAGCTCCATTTTTTCCTAGCCACGAGTGCCTGCACCATGATTCCCTCAGGTGTCATGTCACCCAGGATGCCGTGGCCTAGTGCTCACGTCTCCTCCTGCCCCTCTGTCTGCTACCTGTTATGTCGTAAGGGCAGCAGAAGCCCCTGTCTGACTCTTCTACAGCTCAGCCCTGGGCCAAGTACAGGTTCTGCAGATGAGATGCACACAGGCCAAGCTGAGGCCTCTTCCCAGGAGAGAACCCAAGGGTGAGTGGGCTCCAGGCACCACCTGGCTGAACACCTACTTTCCGGCTACCTTTCATGACATGAGCAGCTGAGGCCCTGACTGTCCAGCTAAGGCCCTAGACCTGAACTTTGACCCCAGGCAGGCTTCTGGGGACTGCCTCACCAAGCCTTGCCATGCCTTTCTCTTGGATTGCCCAGCAATGGCGCCCTTACTGCCCAGGGTGCAGGGTGGCAGGACAACTGCTTTCTGTGCATCCCAGCGCAGGAGGGACCCTCTCCAGGTAACTGTGGCTTGGGAAACCAGGCTAGCCTAGGAGCACTGAGTGCTGGGATAGCCCTCAGGCTGGGCTGTAATCAGGGCCTGGTGCCAGAGGGAACAAGGGAGGAAGGACTGTCACACCCACTGACTTCCACAAGCACCATCTAGGATGAGCACACAGCTGGCCCTTGGGCCACAGAAGGTGGCTGTGAGAGCCACCACCACACGCTGGGAGCGTATGGAAGTTGGGTCCGCATTTCTTACTGTCTGCAGCCTGGGAAGCCAAGGTCAAGGTGCCTGGGGCAATGTCTGGGGACTCCGAGCTGTGCGGGACCTTCTCACTGTCCACACAGGACACATGGGGTGAGGAAGCTCTCTGGGGGCCTCTTTTCTGGGGGCACTGATAGCCCTTTTGTCAGCTCAGCCCTCACTTTACCAGTCCTCCTCATCTCCCAAGACCTCCACCTGGGCTGTGAGGGTTCAATGCACGATCTGGGAAGACAGGTACATGCATTCAGACCACGGCACGGTGATTACTGGCGAGAACAAACCCACTCAGCTTCGCTCTGTCCACTTCCCCTTGGCAGGGCACAGGGTCCCTTCTGCAGGTCCTGCTGGGAAGCCCTCCTTTACCAAGGGGCTCCACGTCCCGGGGTCAGGAGCCTCTCCCAACCCTCCTACACTCAAGCCTCTGTTGGCAGTGAGGAAGCTGCCTTGTCTCTGGCGGCTCCATCCTTGCTTTCCTCTTTACCCAAGTTCCAGGGGCAAGACGGCGATGCTGCTATGGACAGAATCAAGCCCTCCCGCTCATCTACCGAAGCCCTGATCCCACAGCCTCAGAATACGCTCCTACTGCAAAGAGAGTCCCTGGATGTCCTCGACACTTTCTTGTCACTGGGACACCATACCTGACCCCACAGTTTAAAGAAAGGTGGTTTATTGGGGCCCACAGGCTCTAGGAGTGTCAGCCCAGGGCTCGCTGGCTCCAGGGCAGGGAGGGCTGGCGGAGGAGAGCTGCTCACAGTGCGATGGCCAGGAAGTGGAGCCAAGGGAGGGGCAGGGATGGGAGGAACAGGGGCCTCTCCTGGTAACAATTTAGAGCGCTCCCATGGCCTAATCCTCTTCCGAAAGGCCTGCCTCAGACCGCAGGAGGCTCCCTAGGGGAGCCTAGACAGACACCATGGCACAGCAGATGTTATGAGTTAAGATGAGGTTATACTGGAATAGTGGGAATAGTGGGCCCCCTAACCTGGTCTGACTGGTGACCAGTGACCTTGGAACAAAGGGGAACTTGGCCACAGCCCTGCACTCAGGGAGGGCGTGATGTCAAGACTGGGTGTGCGCTCGCACGTGCTAGGGGGCCACAGGAAGCGAGGAGAAGGGCCTCCAGGAGGAGCAGGCCCTGCTGGGCCCTAACTCGGGACTTTCAGACTGCAAGAAGGTGCACTGCTGCTGCTTCAGCCTTCATTGTGGGGGGGTTCGTCAGGGTAACTCCAGGCTGGCTAAGGGGGCAGCAGAGGCTCACATATGGGGCCCTTAGGACACCGGCACCATGTCCCGCAGAGCACGCAGGCGGAAATTCCCTTCCTACCAGCCCTCCTATCTCCCCAGCATCACCTAGGGGGCTTTAGCCCACTTCTGTGCTTTTCTCTTACACTCACAGGACCTGTCTAGGCTGGCAGCGCTCACCAGGGGATCCTGAGACCTGGAGGAGACCTCTTTTTGGGGTTCTCCACCCCACTTTTGCTGTTGCATTCCCTGGATCTGATTGCTATCAACAACTCATGCCCAGTTTTAGATTTTCCTGGAGTCTCATCCTGTTGGCATGCAGGGAACAGCATATAAAATGTTTGCCAAGGGAGGAGGGGTGTTAATGCTGTTGGCCACGGCTGTTCTGGGGCACGGCCACCAAATTTATCACCACATGTGCAAGCGACAGATGGAGGGCACACCTGTGAGATGAGCCAGCTAATGAGCATCTTGAAATCTAGGGCATTAATGGAAAGTGTGTTTGTGTGTATGTGTGTGCACGCATGCACGCACGCACGCACGTGCACTAAGGCCAACAGACCCCAAGCCAGTTGCCGTTGGAAAGGTGGTTTGCTGTGGTTCCGAAATGGACAGACCATGCTGAGAAGGCCTGCATGTGGAGCCGAGGAGGGCTGGGAGGGGCGGTGCTGTGCTGTGGTTTTTGTGAGGAAGAACGGGCCTGCTGGGGAAGCAGCCGTGGCATGGGCCGGTGAGGACAGTTTCAGTGCAGGAGTTCAGGGCATGTGTGCACACCATGTTCCGGAGCAGGGAGCCACCTATAGCAGGTGTTGGGGGGCTCTCAGTGTGGCTGGCTTGTGGCCGGAGAGCATGCCCCATGGGACCTGTTTCCTAGTTCTGGGCCTGGCTAGGCCTGGGAGGGGTCAGCAAGACTCCGGCCCTGAAGCAGCAGAAATCCAGGTCCTGGGCAGTGAGGAGAACAAATGTGCTCTGGGTGCAGCCCCTGCGTCACCAGCTGTCCAGGATCTGGACAGCTGGTAACCCGCACAGTGCCCCACAGAAGGCTGTGGGAAGAGACGGGGCTTCTGTGAGGCTCTGCAGACCCCCAGGGCCCAGGGTCAACATGGGTCAGTCTCTTCCGGGAAGCCCACCTTCCACACGCCCCTGGCCTTTATACCTTGAGCTGTCCTGGTGCCCGGCAGTGGTCCTGCTGGGCCACACTTACTGGGTCAGGTTTCTGTCCCTGCCTCAGCCCTGGACTAGACCTTAAGATGACCTGGGAACTATAAAAGTGCCAGTGGCCCCCCAAAGATGGTTGAGAGCTGGGTGGTCCTGGTGGAACCCACTGACACTCAGCAGGGGACAGGCAGGCACACTGGGGGCCATCACACAGAGCAGGGCTCCTTGGTGACAGAGGCCGTGCATCCCGCCATCACAGGCACAAGGCTGGCTGGTGGTATGTCTGCCACCACAAGGCAGGGACTACTTCGGAAATAGGGAAGGGCGTGGGGATAGGCTCCTGTGGAGTCTCCCTCAGTGAGCTCTGCACTGGAGACCCAGGGCCCAATGCAAAGCTCCCCCTGCGGCACTGACTCCCCTCCCTGCTGGTCTCCTGTGCAGCCTAGCACTTTGTGGGGGAAAAGGCTAGCACCCCCGTGCCAGGGTCCCAGCAGCCTCCGTCAGTGTCTTCCACTAGCACTCTTGGGCAGCGTCTGCATGTGTCCCCTCGGCACTTGTCCCGGTCTGGATCATCTTGGAGGCTCTGGGATTCCGCAGTGCTCACCTCTGGGTTTGGGTTTGGCCATGTGACTTGCTGTATAAAACGAGATGTGGCCAGTTGTGTGACATGGCTGTCCCTGCTCTTGCTTTTGTATGGCCAGGAAAAAGCCAGCCAGGTAAGCCCCCAGAGAAGGATTAGGGGGCCCAGGCCCAAGTGACAGCCAGCAGAGGGAGCTGAGCCTTGGGCCTGCCAGGGAGTCCAGCCAGCACAGCAGAGCCACCTCCCAACTCAGGGCGACCTCCACACTGGGAGCAGCCCAGCCAGGCTGCTTGTGTCCAACCACCCTGCAAGATCAGGAAGCTAAGCAGACATCAGAGCAGAGAAGGCCGCGTGGGTGCAGGGACTTGCTGTAGCTAGCAGGTCTGAGCACGATGATAAAGCACGAGTGCATTTAGGAGGTGCGATCGAAGATCCAGGCAATGTGCAAGAGAAACTGTTGTAACGAAAGACACACTGTTGTGAACCCCAAGTCCTCGTCTTTGCTTCAAACACGCTCACCCCTGCTCTTGCCGCTTTCTGCAGCAGTCCTGGCGTCCTCCCTCCTGGGCGTCCTTAGCTTCACTGTTCTGGACGCCTCGCTGTCCTTAGTCCATCTGGAGCACAGTGGACATCTATTCTTCTGTGGCTACCATAGTCCTTAGGGTAAACCCAGACCACTGAACTCCAGAATCTAACACAGAAACTGGAGGGGTAGCTCTGTCAGGTACAACAGGGATGCCTGGGACTCTGCCAAGGGCAGACATGGCACCTCGTGCCTGTGATGTGGTCCTCAGATGACCCATGTCACCTTCACAGGGGAGCAGTGGACACTCCACATCTCAGGCACACCTCCAGGCTGACTCGAGGTATCCAGGGGGCCCAGAAGTGGGGACCACTTCTCCACTATGACACCGAGGAGCAGAGAGGTGAGTGGTTCTGAGTCTCAGGTCCCCACAGCTGTCCCCACTGTACCCTATTGTCCCCACAGCTATCCCCACTTCACCCTATTGTCCCCAGAGCAGGAGATGAACAGAAGGGCTACAGAGCCCAAACTGCCACAGGGGCTCAACTCCACTCACCAGGCGGGTGCATAGTCCAGACCTGGCACCGATGCCCACCAGGACAGGAGCAGCAGAGGCCTTATGTGCCCATGCTGGCCTCCAGCTCACCACCCTCTGCTGCCCAGCACCCCATGCCTTCCACAGCAGCGTCCCCAGGGAGTCCCTGGCTTACCGTGCTCATCCAGCAGGATGTTGTCTGGCTTGATGTCCCTGGAAGAGAAAACAGAAGTGGGCGATGTGATTCAGGGCTCTGCTGAGGCACCCGCCTCCGGAGCTCTCAGGCGAGGCAGGAGAGTCAACATGCTAGCCGAGCCCTGGTGAGAGAGTCTCACTTCTTTTTCTGGCCTGGAACTGCAAGCAGATTGTTTGAATATTATTTTACTAAATATTTTGAATTTTTTACACCTCTCTTGCAAGTATCCAAAAAACTCTCAACCTGTACATCTGCATTTTCACTGTGCTATTCTAGTAGAGATTGGATGGCGTGTGTAGTCAGTGTCATTCCTGCCTTGAGGATGCCTGGTGCCCCTGGCAGGGACAGGGCCTCGCAGGCCAGCACATGGGAGCCCGCCTGCCAAGTCCACAGCTCGGCCTGTTTTTTGTTTTTTTTTTTTTTCATTTGTGTATTTGGTACAGGGTCTCATTATGCAGACTGGATTCATGGTGATCCTCCTGTTTTCAGCCTCCCCAGTGCTGGGATTACAGGCGTGCACCACCATGCCCAGACTCTGTCCCTGGCTCAGCGCACCCCAGGGCAGGGCCAGCATGGCATGCGGGACCACAGATTGAACCCTGGTCCCTGCTTGCCAAAGTAGGCGCTTTGTCCACTGAGCTGTCTCACCTGGGCCTGGTTTTGTGTTTGTGCTCCGTAAGCTTAGATTGTTTTTATATCTTTAAAGGTTGTAAAAACAAAGTCAAACACACATACACGCACGCACGCACGCACACACACACACACACACACACACACACACCCCTGACAGGAATATACCACAAGGATGGATATAGCCGTGGAGCTCTGAAGTTCTACTCTCTGGCCCTTTGTGCCTAGCATTTCACAGAGCAATCTGTGTGGTGACATCAGAGCCCCAGGTCGCCATTGTAGCACCAGGCCTCCACTTTCCACAAAGTACTTAATGTTTTTTCTTTCAACAGTAGGTGTTGAACCTCAGGGCCTTCATAATGGGCTACATCCCATCCCTTTTTTAATATTTTATTTTGAGACAGGGTCTTACTAAGTTGCTGAGTTGCCCCGGCTGGTCTTCAATTTATGAACCTCCTATCTCAGCCTCCTGGAGTGCTGAGACCATGAGAGGAGGCCACCATGCCCAGCTTTCCAAGGGGCACTTTCAGAGGTGGGGGCTTTGCGTTGTGCCCATCTGCACTGGGTGCAGCGCTGGTCACTGTGAAGGAGGTGGGCCGTAGGCCAGCATGTAAAGGGAAAGAGGCACAGGACAGGCTTAGCTCTGACCTGGAGGTGTGTGTGCACTCGCCAAAGCTGTGTTGGAACACGGTTGTAGACACACACACTGCATGCGCTCATTTATAATAAATGCCAAAGCCAGTGAAACTAATGACAGCTTTCTAGGCCATAAAGAGCAATCACCCAGAGTTTATCAAATATTCATTCTGCCTGAGAACACACTGAGCTTGTCTGTAATAAGGCCAAATGCTGCCTTCCTTGGGAGGAAAGAAATAGCCTATGTGTTTAAACTGTTCGTCTCATGGTGACTTGTTGAGCCCAGGAATCCGCTGAGCATTGAGGGAATGGGCCCCTGCTGCCAACTACGCACAGCATCTTCTGCAAACACAGATGCTACGTGTTGGTGGCCAGGGAGCCCCGCGGAGGCAGGCGCCTGTGGAGGGACACAGCCAGAGCAAGAGGAGCAGCCCCGGCACCCGTGTGAGCCGCTCCCGAGTAGGACAGCTCCCGGCAGGGAGAAGAAAAGGAAGCAGCAAGCGTCAAGCCCACTCTTTACAGCATCATGGGGTGGGGGTGACCTTGTTTGCAGGACAGAGATAGGGGACGTGGTGGCCATGGCTGAGGGAGCATGAGCCCCAAGACACCTGCCGGGGCCAGGCCCCAGGACAGCGCAAGCAGGACAGGTGGCTCGCTGGAAGAGAGACCCCAGAGTGCTCTTTGATGCACTGGGTTCCCCTGGAACCCCTGTAACTTCAGAACAGGGCCTTGTTTGGAAATGGAGTCTTCAGAGGTATACTCAGTTAAGGATGGGAAGATGAAATTATCCCAGATTCAGGGCAGGCCCCCAATCCAATGACTCAGGTCTACAGAAAAAAGGGGGTGCAGATTTGGACACAGGCCTGGAGGAGAAGGCAGCCAAGTGGAGACAGGGCAGAGCTCAGAGCAAGGCAGCCGAGGAGCAAGATGAGGGCAGGAGCGACTGTCCCGGAGAACACCCACGGACAACGGCCCTAGCCACACTTGGACTTTGCCCGTGTGGCCCTTTGAGCCAGCTCAGAAGCTCAGCTACTGTGGGATGCCCCTTAGAAGAGCGGGGTCCTGCTGAACTCTCCAAGGCCAGGAAGAGTGGGGTCCGCACAACCAGGAAGTAGATTCTCATTTTGCAGTGCAGGCAACAGATGGCCAAGAGGAAAATCAGCCAGTGACACACGCGCAGACAGCTCCAACAGCCTACATCCCAGGGTGACACTGATAAAATGTCATGTCAGCAACCCTGGGGCTCTGCATGAGACTCTTCCCTGGCAGACTGGAGGCGTGGAGGATTGGAGCTGCCACAAGGGAGTGGGCCCTGTGGCAGGGACACATGCTGCTTCTAGCCAGTGGGTAGCGAGAAAGTGGGGACCTTAGTCCTACAGCCACAAGGATGAATTCTGCCAAGCATGGGGAGAGCTTGGAGAAAAGAGGGGCATGTGGTTCACAGACTGGGGACACCGGGGCTTGCGCGCCTGGCCAGAGGACGTCAGCACGGTACTGGTGGTAATTAGCTCTGCAGCAAGAGAGAACAGTTACCTAGCCAAGCGTCTTGGGCAACTTTTTCTGAGTCTCATTTATGAGTCTATTTTGAAAAGCTTTTTTCTTTTTAGTTCAGGCTGCCCTTGAACTCATCATATTATCTCAGCCTGGCCTCAAACTCATGGCCATCCTCCTGCCTCAGGCTCCTGAGTGCTGGGGTTACAAGCGTGCACCACTATGCCTGACTTCATCTTATCTTGAAAATGGGCAGAATACCAGCTTCCGCCCAGTGACTGTGAGTGTCGGAGGCGATGGCACTGGCGACGCTTGGCTCAGCTTCCAGGGTGAGAAGTGTAGAAAGACGGGACGTGTGGGGACTGCTGCTGCTGCTCCTGGAGGCACCCGGGAGAGCTCCGGCAGTGTCTTGAACATCCAGCAGAGTGGATGAGGCTGGGGCTGACTCCCATGGAGCCATGTGCAGGAGAGGCGGCCTTGGAGTCACCCAAATAAGGGCACTGCATGGGCAGAGTCCTACCAGAGCTGTTCCTTTAGCTGCTTTGTGACCACCTCTGACTGCCCTGTTTTCCACACTGACCCTATCTCAGGCCTCCAGCATCATCCCGCCGAGAGCCAGGGCTCCTGCCTCTGGGAAGGGCTCCGCAGGCCCCACGTGGATGGGGAGGTGCTGATGATGTTATCTGAGGACAGGGCCATCATTTCAGAGCTGGGCAGGCTGACGCTGCAACAATGGAACGTAGACAGGTGAGACCATAAAACCTGGTTCTATCCCCTGCTCCAAATCAAAGCACATAAGCCATAAGCCATTGACAGGACTATTTTCAAAGCAGATGCCAGGCAGGGCTCTGAGGATAGGTCTGCCAGTGTCCCTTGTGGGGGCTTCTTGGATTCTGTGCCGGTGATCTCCTGCAGCCATGAGGACTCATCACACCCTGGGGACTAGAGCTCACGGCCCACTGAGCCTGGGCTGCAGGTCGGGTAATAACACCTACCCTGGGGGGCTCGTGAGGGATCACTGAGATGCTTCTTGTGACAGTGACCAGCCCAGGGCCAGGCACAGGGAGCAGGGCTGCTGCTGCTGCTGGAAGGGTAGACACCTGTCAGTGCTGGGGTCCAGCCAAGAGCCTAGGTGCCGGGGGAGGTGACCCAATGCATTCGGTGGGGCTCAGGGAGTGAGTCTCGGGATGCCCTTGGCTGTGCTCTCACTTGATTGGTCAGCATGGGATGAGCTAATGAGGGATAAGCTAACGAGGCTGGCCCTCAACCCTTGGGACCTCCCACCTCGGCCTGCATCCTCCTGCTAGCATCTGGGTAACAGTTAGACGGGGCAGCACCACCCACTGCTCCTCGGGCCTTGCTTCTTCCTCTGCTCCCTCCCCTGTGTCCATGGTGGGCCGGGACTGGGTACAAAGCACAGACAGGCACTTCCGCGTTCCTGGCAGTCCTGGGGATGCTAACAGCAGACCATAACTTGCGCTTGCCGGGTGCCACTTGGAGCACATTAGTGGTGTGTAGCGGGCCACCTGGTGCCACGCGCTGCAGGCACGTTCTATATGTCACGCCTCTTAACCCTGACATGGCCTTCGGAGGCCAGTATTTTTAGGGTGAGGAGAACTGTTCCCAGAAGTCAGTAATGTGCTAGGGTGCCCTTGAGACCTGTTGGGGAGCAAAATGCTCACAGCAGTCTGACCTCCTCTAAGCTGTTTCTGGACCAGCGTTCTCTGGTTGGGTGAACTGGGAGGGGGACTGAGGACCTCAGATTCTCAGCACTCTAAAGCAAGCAGTCATTGTCACGAAGCATACTTGAGAGGAAAAAATATATATATATATATGTATGGGGTCTCACTTCTAGTGATCCTCCTGCTCAGCCTCCCCAGCGCTGGGATTACAGGCGTGCGCCACCACACCTGGTCTTGGTGGCCAGCTTGGTGCACCTGGGATCCCCAGGCCAGCATGGCATGTGGTACGGGGATTGAACCCAAGTCCTTATGCTTGTCAGGCAGGAGCTTAGACAGCTGAGCTATCTCCCCAGCCCCGAAATATATTCTTTTAAAAAGTACTTTATTCACATTTCAGCCTGCTTTTTATTACAACCCATCCCTGTAAGTTGGATTTCTTTTTTGGTGTGATCCATGTGGCTTTAGAAAACATGAATCTGGCCCTGTCCCTCCCCTGTATAAATTCTCTCATGGCTTCTGGTGCCCACGACACTGGTGGGCAGCCTCTGCGATTCTGTTTCGAAAAAAAACCCTCGGAA